TTCGCTCTCCCGAGAAAAAGGGAGAGCTTTTGGGACTCTACTCCTATCCAGGAATACTCACCTCGACCCCTTCTCCCGGGGCACAAGGTTCCAAGCCGCTGAACAGCTGCTGACCGCTGTTCATGCTGGCTCTGACGCCTTCCCAAGCGGACGGCTCCGAAAAGAGCCGCCATCGGCGCGCCGTCCCACCGGAAGTCCAGCAGTGACATAGTTCTTAATTCTGGAATGTAGTCATGAAGTTCAATTTGTACATAAATAGTTGTGACCTTCCATTTCCAGTTGGAAGTTTCCTTACAACACAGTGTTTATCAGTGCCTACAAAGTTTTGAAGAAAAGGGGACTCCATTGTATTATGTATGCTTTTAGGACATGGGTAGTTGAACTGAATCTTCAGACTTACCAATATACCTCTTTGTTTTATCATAAAATGTTTTAGAAGATGATACTTGGCTTATTGGAAGTAGGTTTCTGATTTTGTAAACTGGTCTAACATTTTTAATATTTTTCAGAGAGGCAAGAAGAGAAACTGAAGAACAACAATAGAGATCTGTCAATGGTGAGTGTTACAAAAGAGGCTGGTCCTCTTCTATAGAAGTATGAATTATTTATTTAGCACTGCACCAGACTTAATGAGCACCACACCAGAAGACCATTGGTAGATTTTGAGAGATTTAATTTAGCAACATAAGCTTTTCACATCTCACATATATATCAGACCCCCTTTTTGTATTAGCCAGGTGCCAAATAGGCATGGGAAATCCTCTTAGAGCTTCTTTGAGATGAACCTACAGGTAGTCCTCGACTTACAACAGTTCATTTAGTGACCATTCAAAGTTACAATGGCACTGGAAAAATGGACTTATGACCATTTTTCACACTTATGACTATTGCAGCATCCCCATGGTCACATGATCAAAATTCAGACGCTTGTCAACTGACTCATATTTATGATGGTTGCAATATCCCGGGGTCATGTGATCCCCATTTGTGACCTTCTGACAAGCAAAATCAATGGGGTAGTCAGATTCACTTAACAGCCATGTTACTAACTTAACAATTGCAGTGATTCACTTAACAACTGTAGGAAGAAAAGTGGTAAAATGGGGCAAAACTCACTTAAATGCTTCACTTAAGAACATAAATTTTGGGCTCAATTGTGCTTGTAAGTCAAGGACTACAAGATGTGGGTTCAGACTTCTTCTCTTGTATAAGTAATCCCAGATTACTTCAGTTTGATTGCTGGATTACCTTAGTTCAATTAGCTTGATTGCTGGGTTATATTATAGATCATATCATTCAGCAAAGTCTGTGCTTGTCCATCTGGTCAAGATGTTCTTTGTGATCATTCTTGGACCATAGGGAGTACCAGAAACTTGTCATAAAAACAATGATAAGACTTCTGTCTCTTCATAACTAATATAGAAACATCTCATATCTTGATAGAATATTGAGCATGCATACTTTCATGTTTTTCAGTATACCTTTTTAACAACATATAACTATAACTTTACAAAATTGAAATCAACATTCTAAAAAACCAATATTCTTAATAGATTCTTCAATATTTCTTTATTCAAATTCAATCTAATCCTCAATTCCTAAAGACAAGTTGATTTTCAAATTGAGCAGCTTTTGAATAAAAATAACAGCTGCATTTATTAGAAGTGAGACGTAGCCAGATTAAGCTATTTATTTGTGTTTCAGTCTTATTTGTATGGTCTTAAAATATTCATCAGGATTCAGTAATGATGAATAATAATTGACTTACTAAGTCTGAGGAGCAGATATTAGAGATATACACAACCTACAATGAAGATATGAAGACTGGATATAGTTTGGGGAATGGAAGAGAAATAATCCATGAATGATCGAGGGAATAAAGCAGTCCACTGAAAAAATTAGGCATCATTTTAGAATCAGAGTTAAAAAGGGCCAATGAGATCATGGAATACCACAATCTGTTGAGCATAGGAAGCCAAGGTTCTGAATTAAAGAATTCCAAGATACCTGTGCTGTCTGTTCTTATCTGGTGAAGAGAATCTGCACCTCCTTGGGTAATTGGTCCATTGATCAAACTGTTAAAAGGAGATCAGGATTTGTTCTGTCTCATTCCAAAGGACACAAAATGGCAAAACAGATTTAAGTTACAAAAAGTCAGATTTGGAATGAATGTTAGAAAACAGACCTTCTTAACAGAAGAGTTGGGCAGTTAAGAATGCTGGTAGACTCTACTAGATACCCTCAAGTAGAGGCTACTCTCTCTGAAGTGCTTTACTTTGGATCCTACACTGAACAAGACATTGGAGTTGATGTGCTGAATACAGTAGCCACTCCAAATCTGTGATATTGGGCTTTCTGCTATAGTGGTTCAGCTTAATTCAAATATCCAAATCTCTCCAGGTAGAATTATCAGATTTTATTTGGAAACACATTCCTAATGAGATTTAGCTATTCTGAGTTTTCTGCCTTTTAATCTATTTTTTTTTAAATGGGAGCCAGTAAACATTTGAGGTTCACATGCCTTTGATATTGCCAGTTCCCAGGCAACCCTGTGCTTAATTCAGTAATTTTAAAGTATCCTGGATAGGTCATTATAATAGTATTAATTGATAACCAACCAACCCTCAATACTATCTAGACAGTATAATCCTTCTTTAGGTTATTACTTTTTAAATTGAAGAGAAACTTTAATTAGACAAAATAGATCAACAAGACTGTTATCTGGGATTGGATGATATGATTATATGATGGCAGATTGTTTCACAATCTGATTTAATGCAGTGGAATTTACTTTTAAAGCCATAAATGATTTGATACCTGAATAATCATGAAATGTACATACTTGGTTGCTATGATATATTCTTTGGTGCCAGATAATTTTAACATTAACATTAACCATAGCATTTATTTTTATTTTAAAATATTTGTGTCAGAACCCCCAATTATTAATCCCTCATATTTTCTGTGTTTTAACTGTTCAAGTTCTGCCATTCTCCTATGGGGGGAGGAGAGAGGCCAGGGGTCTTTGTAATGCATGTAGAATGCTTCCTCTATCTGCTTTGATGTATCATCTTCGAGGTGTGAAAGGAATGCCTTGGGGCCATCTGCCTTATCTCATTATGGAGGGAGAAAACAGCGAAGACCTAAGAACCTTGAGAGAGGCACCTTATCAATTCATTTCCCTCAGTTCGATGTCACCTATGGATTGGTCTGTTTGAACCGACCAGATGGACAATTGGGGTGGGGTTATTATTTCGCAGGTTTTACCTATTGGTTCGGGCAGGAAGCCCTCAGATCCTGCCTAGCTTTCTTGTTGTCTGTACCTGTCAATAAAAGTTCCTTTTGAAATGATGCAAGTTTCAAGAGTTCTGCTTTCTTGGTAGGGAAACAGAGGCAGGTCCTTACAATTTGTATGGCTGCTCATCTTAAAACTCTGGGTGGCTAACAACAATAAAACTGTAAAAACCATAAAAGATCCCCCTTTAAAAAAACTAATTTCTCAATCAATTTCCCAGGGTGCCCCAACAATTCTCTGCAGACTCCATCACTTTTATCCCATTGCTTAGTGAAAAGCCAGGTTTTAATGGTCTTCCAGAAGGCTAAGAGGATGGGCCTGCCAGATTGCTTTGTAAATCCCTTTCTTTCCCACTTTGGATTCTTATTTATCAAACAGTAATGTTTTCACTTTTTTTTTTAATTGCAGGTTCGCATGAAGTCCATGTTTGCCATTGGTTTTTGTTTCACTGCTCTGATGGGAATGTTTAATTCCATGTAAGTGATTACTAATGCTGTTTTTACTTTAAATTACTTTAAAAGTGAGGGGTGAGCTTTGTTGTTTTCTTGCAGGCATTTCATTAGGTAACATCATCAGTGCTAATAAGAAACGGGATTTGTTCTCAGTTTATATTCTAGTGCGGGGCTTTTCAACCAGTGGTACGGGTACCACCTGTGGTACATTGGCACCTGGCAGGTGGTACGCAACCATCCTAGAAAAGTGGTAGCGGGGGAGGAGAATGAGCTGAACCGGTGGCAGCACCGCACAAGCCTGAGCGAGAGATGGCTGGAGCTGCAGGGCTGTCAGAGCTCGGCGGAAGCGCCAGGATCAGCGCCAGGCTCCAGCTGGAGCTGATCCTGATGCTTCTGCTGAGCCCTGAAGAAGCACCGATCAGCTGGAATGTTGCAGCATCTCCAGGGTCTTGTGATTTACATTCAGATGCTTGGCAACTGATTCATATTTATGGCGGTCACAGTGTTCCAGGGTCATGTGAAGTGACCAAAACCTGCTGCAACCACCCAGCAGACGGGGGGGGGGAATAAAAACCAAACACCCCCCCACCCCAACCCCGCTGTAAATCCTCAACAGAAATGCTCACAACAATGAAAACCTCGGACAGGAGGAAGAGCGCCACTGGGCGGGCAGGCAGGTGTTTTGCTCAGCTGTGGCTTGGGGGGCACTTTTTCAGTGCCATTGTAACTTCGAACAGTCACTAAGCGAACTGTTGTAAGTCGAGGACTACCTGTACTTTTATCACTTTTTTCCTTTTTTTTTTTTTTTTTGGTCATCAAGTTTTTGACACCTTGCTAGGCGACTGGTGGTATTTGGATATTGCCATATCCTAAAAGAGGTACTGTGGGAAGATTTCCTTGGTTCGGGTCTCCAGCTGGGAAGCAGACCTTCAGCTCAGGTGGAAGAAATGATAGGAACGAAGCAAGCTGCCAGAAAGTCAGTTTATTTGTAATTACATAAAAGAATAAAAGAAAAGGGGAGAGAAACGTTTGCAAACGGGCCCTCTGGACCCTTCCCAATGGATCGGGTTTCCAGAAAGACCCCT